GTAAATAACTTTATATTGTTTTCTAGAAATATGGTAAGTCAAAAATGTAAGTTCAAATTTAACATACCAAAACATTTATGTTAAATTTTAACAGTATTTTTTCGTTTCCCTTACATTTTCAAAGTTTCTTTGTTGACCAAATAGACTTATGATATTGAGTTATTTGTAGACTGCATTATCTCCAAATGACAAGTGTCCTCTTATAACATAAGTCCTTGATTGGGTAGTGATCAATTTCATGTGTGTCAGGTTCTTCATAGTGACGATCGAATTCTATCGATCAGATTGCAATGTGGTTACTAGTCTAGGTGACTCAATATTGCGTGCATAATGTTGAGATGTAAAATGGTGATATGATGCTTTCCTGTCGAGTATCTCCAGCTACCACCTTATGTCCTTGATAGTGTATAGTTGGTATTTAATTATTGCAATATTTCTTATGAAGATTTACTTTTGTAGTTACATTTATTCTGTACAGCAGTGGGGAAATAATCTGAAATGAGTGAGTTCTCCAAAGACCTCAAACGTTTAGTGGAGTTCCACATACCCTGATACCTAAGTAAATTTAAAATGAGGCATGAAGAACAAGATTTACAAAATAAAACGAATTTATAACATTGCAAAGCTTTTCATCAGCTATACTAGGTCTGGAGTTACAATTATTTATTATTATGGTATTGAGCTTTTTGAGCCAGATGACTTTATTGTATAGCTCTACTTGTTACTGTAGATAACATCTTCAGCTCCTACGTCATGCAATATTATTGTGACCATGTAATGTTATGATTACGAAGAATCAATGAAACTCAGTTCGAAACAACACAGAAAAACATAAACAGATAGAAGCGAAAACAACATATTTAACATGACCATTATTAGTGACCATTAGTATCTGGTTCAAAATGAAGTTATATATATAAAGGGATGATATCATAAATAACAAGACATTTCTAACAAATAAATGCTGATCAATACATCTAACTTATATAGTATTAAATCTTACATTTCATGTGAATTTCAATGGAATTCTCTTAAATACAAAACAAAGTGAACAGACTATGTAACTGACAGATGTTAAAACAATATAGTTAGTTTGCCATGGCAGCGTAACGTTTACCATAATTTTCCTATGTATACAACTTTCAAGTGACAAAACCTTCATGGTGATGGCCTCTACAAGGCAGAGTAAAAGCCATGTTCTCTCTTTCCTACTTATTTTAAACCACTTTGTGATACTTATTCTATGCCCCTTATCAATTAAATATCTAGTGATTGCGCTTGTGAACACTTTACCTCATTTTAAACGTGGCTTTCGAGGAACATGTTTAATGAAACCCCTTGTAGATGCCCTCTCAATATTTCTTTCGTACCTGCTGCCATGAGTACACTTCATAAATACATTTGGTGGTGAGGTCACAGGGGTAATGATTCACTCTTTATTGTTTTGGAGAACATTTGGTGTTATATACTGAAATTAGTTGAGCTACAGGAAAGGTTCTTCAGAATCGTTGTCATCCTTTTATCAATTATACCCGAAATGTCATCCCCTCCAAATGCAAGTTGGATGAAGTTATATTTTTTAAGCAGTTATTCACGTTCCGTGAATATTTGCGTACTTCACTATTAGTTTCTTTGTATATCCACTTTTTATGAGGTATTTTTCAGTAGTGCCCCATTTGTCCCTCTACTTTATTAGTTGAACATAACCTTCTAGCCTCACCAAATGGGATCTTGACTGAACAGCGTATGCGACTAAGAGGACCAATCTTTTGTAGTTTAGGCAAAAGCCGTCTATGTATGTTTGTAGTGGCTGTGCTTCGATAACTAATCACCCTCGAACCGTTATCGTATAATCTTCAACGATGTTTGAAATCAGAAGGCAAAAAGAAGCAGCTACTACAGTTTATTTAGCAGATAATTCGGACCAGACAGCAAAGGCAAAATGGATGAGCAAGCGAACTACGATTGTAGCAGTAGCAGTAGCGAGTAGTTGTAGTGGATGGGTGCATATATATAGGAAAATGGATGAGTCAGCGAATAGATTAAGCAGTTAAAAATGTAGCTAGCAGAATGAATACATACGTACGCGCTAAACAACAGTTCAAGCACATGTATTTCATACAAGCACAATAATAATGACAGTACAACAAGTTGTTATAGCATGGATGACTTTGTCCATTAAATAGGTCAACAAAAGACCTTGACTGAATTAAACTCAATTGCATGTGAGTCGCTATATGTTTTCTGAATATATTGTCTTTGTTTGTCCATTGTTTTTTCATTTTATGTTCAGGTCAAGATAGATAAACTGATCATTATGTTCAAAAGCCATAGTTACATTTTATGATTTCACGTGATTCGTTAAAGTGGCAAAGTAATTTTGAAACATGATTCATATCACAATAAATACAAACAGATAATAACACTACTGGATGCCGGCTCAATGGTTCAGAGGTTAGGCGGGACCGAAGGTCCTGGGTTCGAATCCCGCGTGCGGGATGGTGGATGCTCACTGCTGAGGAGTCACGTACTAGGACGAAACGGCCGTCCAGTGCTCCCAGGTTATTAGTGGTGGTTTGACATTATCGGTTCATGATTTCAATAAAAGCTCTATAGTCTACACAATTCTATATTGATAATAAAAAATGTAGTGTCAACATGCATTCAATAGAGTGTGATGTTTTCAGTTCCGTATTTGAATCACTTCTGTTCAAGGTTAGCTATGAAGATGTCGGCCAATGTAGGCCTGACTAGTAATCCCATGGTCACTCTATCGCTTTGTCCGCATAACAGGTTGTTTAATTTAAATTATCCACTTTTTGTCCATTTAGGCATTATGGAGCGGAGGAAATAATTCATGCTCCTAGGAAACCAGATTTACGGTTCATTATATTGATAAATTTGTAAGTGAGAATCAGACAATAAATAGTAGGGTTTATCTATCCGATATATCCATCTGGTTCTTTCGAAAGTGAAATGTTTCTTTGAAGATTTACATGATTTTATAATCAACATAAAAGTCTTGGCTGATCTCAACTATTATATCAAATATGTTGTTTCTTCTTCGCCTTGTGTTCTTAAGTTTTTGCAAACTCCACTTTATTGAAAACATTGATCAAAATGACCTGGTATGGCTGAGAGTGGGGAGAGTCAGCTCTCCCTCCCTAAATGCTCTCGCATGGCCACGTGCGTATAACCACTGCAAGAAAAGTCCTACTCATTGCATTCTCACACCACAGGTGTTGTTTACGGAATCGATAGGACAAAAAGCGAATGTCCAGCGCTCTAACCTAGTTGGTGGACACAGAGACTCCACCTAGGGGTGTTGGAAAACCCTCATTCAAACCATTGATGCACATGGGCTCCAGTAAGCTGAATGAATAAATGGCTTATGAACCAATTATTGGTGACTGGCTACCATGGGACTGCATCTCATCGCGTTACCTCACTGCCAGGTGAATCAGACCTTTAGATCAAAGGCTCAGGGTGTGGCCCCATAAGGAAGCCACCAGTTTTTGTTTGGGCACCTGGTTAGTATCCCAGCCCTTACACAAATCGAATGTTTACGTGGCGCATATCTATTCGGTTCCCCTTTGTTGCCTCCTTGTACCAATGTTTATGTGTTTAAATAAATAAATAATTCTAAACCGTTCATTCGTTTTATTTAAATTTAATAGATTTAACTAATAAAAAACGTTGACCATCTCTAAACTTAAAATTGGGTAAAATACCCTAAAACCGTTACATGATACTAGTCGTATAATCTAGTAAAAAATAACTATCCTACATGTAAATTGTAATTCACGTTTTAGAAAGTTATAAAAATACTACACGCGATACTAGTCAAAGTAAGTTTATGCTAAATTCTACCGATAATATACGTTAAATTAATCGGTAATTAATTGTTTAACATTAAAATAAGAAGTTATACATTTATTAACAGAGGTTGTTAGTCAATTGAAATGTGGTCCCGTCGAATAAACACAATCTTAAAATAATCCTATTGGCTAGTATTTTATGAACCATCTCAGAATGACTGTTTTTGATTTTGTAAATGACCAATTTAATTAAGTATCTGCTTTGATATATCAGATCCTGAAGATATATAACTCACATCAACTTCATATCGATTTGTATAAATGTATTGTGAATATATCTGGAAACTAAATGTTTATGATTCCAGTGATTGATTAATTTGAGATTGTGAATTAGTTATTTGATATGAAATAGTTCTTCAAGTGCTCGTCTTAATTTACATCAAGCTTCGATATCTCGTATAATTTTTCAAGGAGCAACCTGATATTTATATATACATTAAAAAAAGATATCAATACCAAATTTACTTCAGTCGACTATTAATTTAAAGCTAGAAGAAACTCGAATAGATTCGGCAATCGGATATAATTTCGAAGTCATATGATGGTCACTGTCTACAACTTGATGCTTTTTGATGATCTCATATCATTTATTCTTATTCAGATGAATTCTCTATTTTAGATAAATGATTGTGTAGATATCTGTAAAGTTTAACGGTGAACTTTCATAAGAATCAGCAAATTGATAAGAATTTGACACGTTCGGTCATAGTTTCAGTATTGGAATAGATATTTGGAACTACTTGTAGAAAAGCATGACATTTAAATCTTTCCAAGTTAAATATTGGAACGTTGTTTACCAAAAAACAGCAAAAGCTATGTGCCATAAGCTGAATTAACTGGAAATATTTTTTTCAACACTGTATTTCAGTTAAGTGACTGAATAATACTGCGATTGCAATGAGAACCAAGTGTTTTGTCACTGACTGATTAGATGTTATTAAATATATTGTTTGGATGAATATTTTTAGGAATAGATTTTATCTCATTCAAAAGACCGAAATGACATTTAGTTAAAGTGACGAAAAAGCAAAGGAATCCTGAATGTTTTTCCATAAGTTCATTAATCAGATCTTCATTTCATTTATTACTGCTTACGTTTTTTTCTTTTCATTTTACTGACAGGAAAACTTCGATTGGATATAGAATATCAAAATCATTCAATTAAATTACACGGTAAATTAATGTTTTTGTTAAACTTCCGGTTAATCTTTTGTTAGATATTCAAATATAGTAAGATTGTAGTTGTGACTTTGAAGTGTCTCAATTTCTTGTCTAGGTAAAGTGGTGTAAAGGTTCCTTTATCTTTGAAATATTTAACTAAATCATTTATTAATGATGATTTAAACTTAAGTGACAGGATATAATTAGTATTTTCAGTTCTATGATAGTAATCATAAAATAAGATTACATAAATCAATATTTTTAACCAGAGAGAAGTTTTGTAGAGATCGTAGTAATATAACAATTGAATTTATGAGTCGATTGAAGGAAGACCATCATGGAAAACCTGGAAGCACTGGACGGCCGTTATGACCTGTTGTGGGACTCCTCAGCAGTGCTCATCCACGATCCCCCTTCACTAGATTTGAACTCAGGATCTATCGATCTCACGCGTAAACGCTTAACCACTAGATCACTGAGTCGGCATCCGACGGTGTAAATATCTAACTTCAACTAATCTACGAAATCGAGCGACACATCCACCAATGTTTTCGGTTAGTTACTACCTGACAACAGACCCAGTTAAACTCCACTGGTCATTGATTCTCATTAGAATTTATTGTAATTTGTTAATACTCATCCAGCACAACCATTGATGTTTATTTCTATGCAATCTGAGTATATTTTTAGCAATTCGTCATAAATATTAATCATTGAAAAAATAATAACTCAAGTCCCTTTTTCATTACATGCTTATAAAGCTGTTCCAATTATTATAAGACAAAGCCGACAGAACATCCTACTAAAATCTGAGAACCACACAGTAAATACTTAATTTGCAAAATATCAATCAATTGTCTCAAACTTGACTGTTTCTTTTGCAAATATCAGTCCATCATTTGAGATTTCATTCTTCCTTCATTTTCATACCAATTGCTTTCCGTTCTCCTTCTTTCCTTTCAAGGAATTTGCATGTAGCATTTATTGTAATTAAGTACCTTTGAAAACTGAAGACCGTCGGAAAGCTTATTACTCTTAACGTGGGACTCGTCAGAAGTTGGCATCTCTGGCCATTAGCAGACGCTGTGAGCACATGACCCTCATGATGGAAGCTGTATTATTCGTCGGTTCACCTTAGCTATTGAGTTATAGTCATGTGTGCAGAAATTCGTGGAAAGGACTATGATTCGACAGGAAAAAAGGCAAAGTTACGCATTCATCTAACTGTGGTTCAACGTGATAATTTTACAATAGGACGTAACCTTTTTAACACTGACGGCTTATTCTGATAAGCTAGAAGCTCATTTGAGTTAATAACTGTGCAGATATTCTGGCTTTCATGGCCACATATCAACAATCCAGTTATGGTTAGTAAAGGCATTATTCTTCCGTAATAAAGAAAATGTTTTCATATTACTGTGATAAGTGAACCAAAGGAAGCATAAATATAGTGATTGGATACAGTGAGAGAAGAACCAAGTGTAGAAATCTACAACTATTCTTCATCATATAGGACTAAGATGTAACCACTAACAGTACGCAATTATTTGGATATATGAAGCTTGTGGGCTAGGAGGGTAGCTGATTCATTCAATATTTTCAATAAGTAAGATTAGAACAAAGACAAACTTTACTACATGTTTATTGAAAGATTGAATAACAAAGAAGAATGGAAGAAAAACTATAGAGTTATGTATTCTTGATCAGAACACTTCAGTGAATAATAAGTCAAAATTACTTGCCATTTATCCATTGATATGTGATCAGTTCAAGAGTGGTAGAGAGGTGGTTATATAAACTTAAAAATGCTAGTTGTTAATTCAAATTTAATGATCAGTAACTTAAAGTACATGTATTAAGCTTTAAGATGAACACTCAACTACCCTATATAGGTGGTTAATATAAAAGAGTCACTAATCTCCGATAACAAAGCTGTCCAGCATTCCCAATTTTATACGATGTTGTTTGCTTATGTTATTGGAAAGTTATAATAATATGTTTGTAGAATACAGCTATATTGTGTGAGTATATTCTTTATATTATCATCTCAGTAACTTAAATATCTTTTTTTCATTTCAGTAATTGAAGCCAAAGGACTTCGTACTACTACTAGTCAGAACTGCAACTCTTTCGTGAAAGTAAGCGACTTTTATCGGATTCTTTCTTGACCAACTAAATACTGCTGTAGTATTTTTGAATGGTTATTGTAAAAAAATTATTAGTCTTATCATGCTCTAATTCATACTAATTATGCTACAATTCTGTTATATTTACCGGTTCAGGTGTTCAGAATAAAATGTTTCAATTATATTCTCGAAATCCGATGAGAAAAAACCGCAAACCTATATATTTTAATGGTTGAGATCATGAGTCAAATGAAGCTAGACCACCACGGAAAACCTGGAAGCACTGGACGGCCGTTTTGTCTTATTGTGTCTCTCCTCAGCAGTGTGCATCCACGATCCCGATACTACTATAACCACACAACCCCTCTCTGATTATAATTAATAAGTATAAAACACTATTTGGAGTGATCATTCCAATTTATTTAACAATACTATGAATAGTCCTTTTTTCTTTGACAATATATCATCATTAAGTCATGATCTTGAATTCACGAAATCGATGAAGAAGACACCTGATAAATGGTACTTTTAGATGATGGAAATATACTTAAACATTTACTTTCATATATATGAATCAGAATTTATGGAATTATTTTAGCACTAAATGTTAAATGATTAGATAGTTCACTTCAGCTGAACAAGTTTGCTATGAAATCTGATTGAGGGTTACTGACCAGTGAATCTTTAATTCAAACGCCATAAATAACCAAAAGTTATGAAATTAATTAATCAAGAATGTTTTCACCAACTGATCATTAAATATTAACCAATATCATGTTTTTTCTGATCATCATTACTGATCGAATTTCGTCTTCAACAGACTAACATTTAAACCGGAATGATTTAGTTAGGTAATCATTAGCTTTGCAAATTACATAGGTGTCAATACATCGGTAAGTTGATCTACCTTTTTTTTCTACGATTTCAGATAAGTGCATCTCCAGACAAAGGAGTTACATTTGAACAAACTACTGAAATAATCGAAAATTCAGCAACACCATGTTATAATAAAGAATTTTTGTTAAATTTAAACAAAATAAAATATTGTAAAAGAATTCATCTTGCAATCTATGCTCAATCAACTAAAGAGTTAGACTGGTGAGTTGACCTATGGTTTACATCATTATTCGGGATGTTTTTATACTTAGTATAAGTTGGATAATCAATGAAACACCTAAGTATTTTTAACTGAATCTTTCAAATCTTATATATAGATATTTAGACAACTGGCTAACATGAAGACGTTTCGTCGTAAAACGTTGACAAAAATTCTACAGGCAATTAAATTTTCTGACAAAAACATCTTTACGTCATAAAACTTAGTAATAGCCACTTGTTTTACTTGTATCTTCCCACTACTATTTAGGACTGCAGCTGATCAGTCTCTAGGTAGCTATGTGGATTATGTGATGGCGTTCGAAACGGACGATACTGGCTTCGAATCCCAGGGCGAACGTCAACTCAGATGCAGGTACATCCAGCTGACGAGTACCAAATAAGACGAAACGCGCTTCAAACTGGATTCCACTGCTAGCCACTATCCATCTTTGCTTATAAAGCTTGTGACTTCAGGCAATATCGAGGCAATACACACAGGATGTACATATGCCAACAAGAGACTGATCAACTGCAGTGGGAAGACACAAGTAAACAACACCAAATGAATTAACAATGTTCATAACATTTATGCTGCAACCTATTTTACTGAGAATCAAAAGTGTGGTTTTTAAAAGACGTTGGATTCCCATTAGTTACTAACTGTTGAGAACCTAAATTCTATTAATTAAGAACTTTCGTCTAAATTTTGTCGAACTGTTTCACAGTACTTGGGGGCCGAGGTAATGTGAGAAATTAAAGAGGATGAATGTATTCTTTCGCTGAGATTTTACAAATACATTCTTCCTCTTTAAAGTTCCATTCGATCAATTCATTGTATTTTGAAACATAGAATTTTTAAAAGAAAAAATTCCATTTTCTCAAGCATTTTTATAGATAGATCAGTAAATAGATAGTTGTAATTTCTTCAATTAAATGCTAGGAGACACTGAAGTATTATTCTCCAATGTTCCGAAACATTTGAAGTTCAATGAAAGTCTAAGTTAGTTTTGGTTTTAGAATATTAAAGATTCCCATTGTGAAAATTAGAACAACACATATAAGCGAACAATATTGTTTTCAATTAGATCGTCATCAGGCTTTACTCTAATATACATGAATATTTATACGAAAATTTTAAACCAATCAAGGCAATATGACTCAATAATCATAATGAAATAGAATAAGTCACTACACATAAAATAGGTAAAAGTACAAGTTGATAGTACGAACACAGGTGAACAGATAGTGGTAAGAATAATAAACTACAATAACAAAACTCTTATCAATAGTTAATCGTTGGAAATAGAAGGTCAAATAAACACGGGTAAATAGACTGGGAATAGTAATCACAAAACCTTAAAAATCATTACGTAATAAGATGTGTGTAAATAATTAGATAGTGAAGAATACAAAGAGGCGGATAATCACAAACAAATAATGGATGTGGAAATAAGGTTAACAATAACCCAGATAGAATAAAATAAATAATGATAATAATAAAATTTATAAAAAATATTAAAAAAAAATTGTTAGTTAAGTTATAACTGGCCATGGAAGGGATAGGGGAGTCACGTATTTCTTCTGTACACATAGATTGGGGTTATATGTACGAATTCCAATGGCTTCAGCTATATATAGGAGACGGGAACGGACTCCGTCGGGAAATGATGGAGGTATACGATAGATAACTCGAAATGATTTCGATTTCTCTACTGCATGACCACTATCAATAAGATGTGCTAGTATAGAACTGCGAATAGTTTTTCTCTGACCCTTTATGTACCAAGTTGGTAGATGTTCACTCATTCGTCGGTTAAGTTGCCTGGTAGTACGCCCTATATAGCTATCTCCACAGGAGCAGCTGAATTTGTAAATGCACATGGAAGAGGCCAACTCAGGTAACTTATCCTTCGTTTGAGTAGACATCGCTGGTCGACAAGAGAAGGTCAACGCAAGATTGGCTGCGTAGAATGTCTTGGTGATTACTTTGGTTAACCTATATTTCAGAGTGTCACTAGCCACATCCCCGTTGAATTGCACTTTCATGTATAAAGGTTTCTTACGAACAGTCGAAATCTCCGACTTCTTTATTATATCCTGCATGTATTTCTTGATGAACGCGCTGGGGTAGCCGATCTCGGTCAGTGAGTTGTTGAGAAATTCAAGCTCCTGACTTAGAGTGTCTACTGTACAGATCTTTTTTGCTCTGCTCGTGAGACATCTGACCAAATTTCTCTTGTACCGGATGGGTGTGAAACTGCAGAAGTGAGTATATTGGCATGAAGAGGGGTTTCTTCTATACACGCTTCTACTTAATGTGCCGTCACTTCGTCTGCTTAGCGTGACGTCAAGGAAGCTCATCTTCTTATCATGCTCGCTTTCACCAGTGAAGGTGATCGCTGGGTGAACACTGTTGAATTGGTCTAGGAGTTCCTCTTTACTAGTGGTTTTGTCAATTGTTATACAGTAGTTTACATATCGATGACGCTATTCCTATTAGGCATCAGTAACCTGAATAATGCATTGTAAAAGATATATTTGTTAACATTTGATAGCCTTTAAAGCTGTTTCGTCACATTATGAAATTCTTCTTAACTCTTGAACGTGATTACATTGTCACTTCATTTCTCGATTCACGTTTAGTTCAGTTGATGTGTGGGCGAGAATGATAATGATTGGTTGTCTGCTTAGTCAGACATGTAGATAGTCTAACAGGTGTCAGATGAGTTATATATTCCCTTATCTTATAATTACTTATTATTGATTTTTCATTGTTGTTGAATTGTGTCGGGTTTTGGTGTGGAAATGTATTTACGTTGTGATCAGGCTAATCACGTGTTGTTGATCTGAGTTGTGTTGAAGTCCTGTAGAATAGACACTGGGAGGGAATCTAGTGTAGATAATCGTCTAAGGTAAATTAACGTCCCATAAGTGTAAAAGTGTAAACCTGTTATAAAATTAGACGAAGTAAAAGTGAGTGTTATAACATCAGTAAATTTATTTTAAGTCTTCAACCCATATTCCTTTTATTATTATGCATAATTAATGTGTGCTTATTACGTTACTACCTATTTATAACTATTTGATCTTTTGTATTTTCAAATGGCTTTATAATTATGATTTTTTTTAATCTTAGAAGTTGTAAGTAGCTAATGAGAACTGATAGAAATAAAATGTTATTCTACTTAACCTTTTGTTTTTGCTCACTGTAAGATGACTAAAGAAACCATTTGCATGACAAAAATATTTTTGTATTGCTGAGAAGGTTTGAAATTGTTATCAAATTTTGATTCCTGACACCAGTAAGTAAAAACAATAGCGCCGAACAAGTCAAATACTTGGCACTTTCCATACACATTGTACATAAGTAGTAAATCGGTGAGTTTTCGTTTGTTTTTTTGCTTGTTGCGATCTGCTTTTTGCTACACAAATTGAAAATATCTAGTCAACAATAATATTATCAAGGAACTCTTCCAAATATTCTTCAGCATTATGCTACCAAGACTGAGAACTCGACCTCCAAGCATAAGGAAGATGAAAATGAAGATAACGTTTGACCTGTGAAAAACAACGTCTTATACAATAATACCATTCTTTATATACAAATTTTCTTGACAGTGGGAATTAATTGCATTTCAATAATTATAACTTTAAAACAGATTTCATTCGGAAGCAATGTCAAAACTGGGTGAATAGATAACAGTAATTATCAGCATACAATATGAATAGCATACTCGGATAATTGATAATTGATATTAAATGTAAAATTAAATAATTATCGTATTGTCGTATTATGTTAAGTTCTCTACTTGATTAATGCGGAGTATAGTAAACAACTACGGCACTCCAACGTATAGAACCTCCGCAGTCGCATATCAAAAGACAGAAAAAGACTGAAGAAGTGCTTGCTGGGCAAGAATTAAAATGCATTTATAGATATTATAATTCAATCAGTCCGCAAAGAGGCATGTTATGCTACCACCTAATAGTAGCATGACACGTTGATATTCTAGAAAGCCCCGTTGCGTTCTGATTGGATGAAAACTCTTCGGCTCCTTTAGGGCTTCTGAAGGCTCCGTCGTATTTCTCGGAAACTGTCTCAACTATTATTTATTTAATTTGCTCACAAAATAAGTATTAGTAGTTCAGTGAACATTGGTAGGCTGGTGAACCACTTTTCGAACGGGTAATATGTATAATGAACAAAATCCAAGACTTCATAAATAAAGATTCTAAATATCTTCCATCTACTGTAATAATATAAGTAAATGAGTTTTTTTTTAATTTGTCAAAGAATTCATATATTGATATATATCTCTATGAGTTCTGCTAGTTCAATTACCATGTAGTAACTTATAATTCAATTTAGTTCTTAAATTAAAAATGATGTGTATAATAAATAATTGTTAACTCCAGCTTAATCTATACAAAGTGACGTAATTCAGAGAAAATTAACAAATCAGTTACGTTATAATCTCCTTTTGTCAGTAAGGTGACTTTGTTTATATTTTTATGAGCTTCGAAGATAGTTTACAACACGAACTGATTTCAACTGATGAACACCGTGGAACAATAAACAGTTGATACGCTCTATTGTGAAACTACTCAGTAGCTCAAATTTATGATCCCGTAATATTTCGTACCTGGTACTTTCAAGTCCCCTCAGAGGTACGCCATACTTTAACTAATGAGTCACAATCCAAAGTGTGCATTAAAATCTTTTGATCAAGTTTAGGCATAAAACATAATCATCTAGTTTCCTCAGTGAATAATTGATTAGCTGAGATCATGGCTAATTCCAAAGACAGTAACATTCTTCCAGTCAATTGGTAAATGTAACATCAAGTTTTTCGCTAATAAGCCAGGTAAGTATTTTCTTCTGCAATTAAAACAAATTCATTTCTAGGTGTTTTCCAGTGTAAAGTTTAACAAGTTTAATAAGACAATGACAAATTTATGTTCATGAAAACTACAAACTTACCAGGGAATTGAAATGTAAATCAGTTGAACGATAAGACATAACAAAGTTTGTTGTCAAGCTAGAACATTTATTAAGTTCAAATTAATTCCGATTATCTCTAGTTGCCAAAAATATCAAAATGACTTATATTGACAATACTGAGGCTGTAATTTAATTGAATAATCACTGGAAAGGTTTATACTTAATTTGATTAATATTTTTTTGTAATTTCATTTCAAGTGAATTTCTTGGTGGAATGTCTTTTGGAATTCCTAGTATACAAAACAAGAAACACGTAAGTCAACTAGATGCTTATGATTTAAAAGAAGTAAAAATATTTACACTTTTTGTTGTGGTATCTACTTTTTGTGAATGTTTTCTTTAATGAATGTTCGCATAACTTAAGAATCTATTTTTAACCAGTATGAATCCAGCTGTATTATGTAAGACAATTTGATCGATGAAATAAAATCTTTATATATATATATATATCATGAGGTGGGATCGTGGATGAAACGTTCGTCCATTGCTTCCAGGTTTTCCATGATGATCTAACTTCAATTGACTCATGAATTCAACTATTAAAAAACAACAAATATTCATTTTGTTTTAATTCCATTCAAGTCAAAAATCACAAATCGTATGCTGTAGATAAATAGATATCAATGTATTGGTTAGAATTTGATTGAGTAATTTATCACCCAACTCTAAATATCAATTTTTTTCTTTGATAAAATTAACTTATTTGCATATTAAATTTCATTTCATGCTCATAGCAGAAAACTCAAACTGTTTATTAACAAAAAAGTGGAAGTCATTTAATTCACCACACTTACTTACTTACTAACTTACGCTTCTTACTCCTCGTGGAGAAGCATAGGCCGCCCACCCGCACTCTCCATCCGACCAAGCCCTGGGAAATCCTTTCCAGCTCATTCCAGTTGTTATTCATACTATTCATATCTGTTTCTATTTCCCGACGTAGTGTGTTCTTTGGCCTTCCTCTTTTCTGCTTCCCTTCAGGATTCCAAGTTAGCACTTACCTCATGATAAAGTTTAGTGATTTCCGCAGTGCATGTCCTATCCATTTCCATAATCTTTTCCTGATTTCCTCTTCAGCTGGAAGCTGGTTTGTCCTCTTCAACAGTAGGCTGTTGCTTATGGTATCCGTCCAATGGCTGTTGAGTATCTTGTGTAAAGTGGGAATGCAGCCAACTCAAATGGAATCAAATTAGTTTATGTTTCTCATCATCATTAGGAAGATCATTGAAACCAAAAAGAAATATCAGATAGATATTTCGATGTGAAGTGAAATTACTGATTAATGTATGTTTATAATTCTAAAGTGAATTAAATATTATCGATTTCAGGTCATGTTAGTAATACGATAACTTGATACAGTTATTTCGAAATCCAACTGTTTATAGCTCTAACATTAGCTAATTTGTAAAATGGTGTGACTATAATCCTATCCCACCAGTGATACGTGTCTAACTAAAGTGCACACTAATTGAACAAACATATATTCATGTTTAAATTTTAATTTTCTTCTACTCTAATGTTCATAGATCTCAGGTTGGTATTATTTATTAGACGAAAAAATGTTTAAAAAGAAGCACCTCAAAACTGCTTTAGATCCTATCACCAACTTTGAAAGTGTTTTATGTGCAACAAATGAATTAATCGTATCAGATATAATGAAAACCGAAGCTGCCACTGATGCTGTGACAACAAACACATCAACAACAAATCAACAAATTCCTATTATTCTAACATCGATTAATGAACATGTCACACGTCCAAGTACAAATGAAATTCATCCTAATATAAATCGTAATTTCGCTAGTAATAATCACAATATAAATAATCACTGTTCCAGGGAATTTCGTCCAGTATTGTCACCTACTAACTTTATGATTTATTCACAAAATCTGCCTAATACATTGTTACCATATCAAATTAGTAACCCACCAGTTAATTCACATTTTCCACAATTTTCATCACCAGTTCCTATACGAGCAAATATGTCAATTCCAAATACGAATAAAGCTTTAAGTAATATGAGAATATTTCAAGTGAGTTAAATTATTTTCACTTAAGTTTCTATAGTTTTCACCATATACGTATCTAAGCTAGGATACTCAATGAATTTTAGAAGACTGAATAAAGTAATATTGCTCAACAACCTTTTATTGTTATTCCGTGTATAAAATGAACAGATTCAACAGACCTATGACTAAAAGCAAACAACCTCCATTAGTTTTTGAGTTTATATAGAAGCAAATTCAAGCTTATCATCATTTTATTGAGCACTAGTATTTGGCGGCATGTTAAATGATTGTAGACAAGCGGAAGAAAGCCGTAAACTTTGATTTTGTCTTAGTTAACACTCATCATCGAGGTACGCATCTAATACAGAGAAAAATGATACTACATACATAATTCAGTCTAACGCCACTAAGTGTCAGAGATAAGGACTTTGCTACTGAGCTATTCGACAGTACTGACGATAACATCACATTGGTTATTCCTCACTAATTATTCAGTATAAATACTATAGTCTAGCAATTAGTTAGACTAACTCAGTGGTAATGTCTTTAGGTGACTTTGAGTAATAAGGTTTCGAGTAATAGTTTCCTCAGAATACTATACACACCCAGATGAAGAGTGCGAAATAGAGTGGAGCCATTATCAAATATGACTTTTGTCGACCGACCCCAACCATATGACATAGTGCATACGGTGTCGAATAACTTGGAGAATATTGGTCATATTGCAATTGGATAGGTAGAATTCCATCATTACTACTACTACTACTACTACTACTACTACTACTACTACTACTACTACTACTACTACTACTACTACTACTACTACTACTACTACTACTACTACTACTACTACTACTACTACTACTACTACTACTACTACTCTATCATCCATCAATGTGTACAAATCGTTGAACCGAGTTTTCAATTTTAAGAGTAAATAAATAAACGTCTTCATCATCTTCAATACTAATAAACCCAAACATATTTGTAATTATGAAAGAATGTACAAGTATTGTATGTATTCGAAGGTGTGCTACTTCTTGTATTGATTGATTAGCTTCAACTTCTAAAGATTTACATTAGAATATAGCAATTATGTTGCAGGTTATTCTTGTTTTTATGTGAGTAATCACTTGTTATTAATTAACCACTAATTATTCTATTCAGTTCTGTCTGTAGTTACTATTGTACGACGGAATTCTTGTTTTTTTGTCAACTTTTACCTTTACCATAATGTTAATATTGTAGTCTTATAATCAATTCTACGTACAATAATTAGGAATTGCAACACTTTGGATGATTTTGAATAATCTACATTTGTGCTTTCTATTTCTTATTAAGTTCTCTGAAATGACTGGTTTAACTAAATGTCCTTTGTCGTTCTGGAAGAAAATATTATCACATACTATCATTCGCCATTCACTTCTACATCAAATTTTAGGGAAGTAGTACAAGTTTACTTAAGAGAATTCAACATTACTAAATTGTTCCAATTGGACTAAAAGTATTCAAAGTTATTTCAAATTTCCAAGCATCACCTCCTTAACAACTTTATAGTAGTATTCACATTTATTTTACTTTATTACAAGTTACAATTATTCCAGCTTTTAGGTAACTGAAAAGTAATTCACAAAATATATAAATTGATATCCTTCTTTTTTCGTCATATTCTTTGCTTGCCCTGCATTCTAGTTTTGTTTTTTCTAATTCGTTTTATTGTCTCACTACCAATGGTAACTTTCTTTTTTTTCTTTTTTTTTCCAATATTCGGTACTGATTTCAAAGTAGTACAATGTACAAATTATGTCAAATAATTTATCAGATTTCATACTTGTATTTATGTTTTCAGCTGATCAGTTTAGATTGGCATTTTTACACCATGAATGAATTGCTTGTATTGCTCGATATTTAGTCACAAATTTTAGTTAAATTAGATTTTGACTAACAGTGAAATTCAAGATATGCATTTTGTCTTGTTTACGACTAGTTAATCGAATGTTCCTGAGTTTCAGTGTTAGTGTTTACACAATCATATGTATACCATCTAATGAGAGGACCTCGATGTTGACATTCAGACACAAGTTTCAATGAGGTTTAACTAAATCTATGTCATAAGTTCCACGTTTAGTCACAATCCAACGTTACATAGATCTTTCATGTGAATTTTTCATGTAAACTTGTACACATGTCTAAGTATGGATACGGACATAGAGCGAAACGACCTAGTGAAAGTTTGATTTGTTAGTAACTATAGACAAAAGAAAAGTTCGATCATTTATTTGTATGCGAAATCCAGTAGTTTAGTTACATGATATTACCTTATTTTGTCGAGTAACTAAGGTTATATTTTGTAAAATGTACGATTGGATTTATTGTATCTCGTTATATACAGATACTAATACTTGTGATAGCTGAGAAAAACTGTCACTTGCTACTTTTTATGGAGGAACAAATATTGATAACATTTGGAGAAAGGAAGAAAAACTTCAGATGAAGGTTAATTCATGAACCAACTATACAACCACAACTGATTAAAACGACATCAAAATATTACAGTGGGGTGTAAATCATTCCTATAGATTCGGTCAACAATTAAAGTTGAATAAATCTAGCTGGTAGTAATCAATGTTAAGTAATCAATAATTTGAGGTACAAATGTAATTTACTGGATTAATAAATGAAATTTTTTTTAACTAATGAACATAATTAATTTACATTTTTGCTTTTTCCTGATAGGATAAGAGAAAGCATTTACTATGATTACGTAAAACGCTGTTTGAAAGTAGGAATTTGTCAACCGAGCACCTTTTTGATAATCTTTTATTATTGTATAAGACCGAAAACAACTTTCACTGGTTACAAATAAAATTTTCATCACTTCATTGTATGTCGGATGAACTGAAAGTTCATTTAGTAACATCATTATGACACATGTGAGTATGGAATCCGTCAACACCAAAAAAACCAACTAATTATTTATTTTAAAAATTTAGTATAGAATTCCTCTAATCTGCATGAAGTTTTAGAGTAACTCACTTGTGTCCGTTAGTTTAGAAAAAAACATGTACATTAATTGTATGAAACAATTACTCTATTCAAACTATAACATTTAAATTGTCAAGATTCATTTTAGTAAAACAAAATCGTGGCTTCTAAATGTTTATCATTTGTAAGTGTTTGTGAATATTTAGGACTGCACAAGATAAATCTTAAACCTGTGAATCAGATTAACAACTACAAAGTGGACTGTGCGTTAATGTTTGAAGCGATAAGTTCTGGATTCCAGTCTAAATACGAACATCAGTACCAGGCAAATCAACGTGAGGAGTCGCAAATAGGACAAAACAATCCTTCTGGACTCAACCATTGGCAAAATATCCTGCTATACTTGTGAATCCCGATTGACTAATATTTCATATATGAAGCTCTTTAAATATCGGAGGTCACTGGGTAGACAGTAATTTAATTTATAGCCTGTAAACTTTAGTACCATGGATAAAGATTAACACAGAATTTGACTACAAATACATGATGACAGCATCAGACTAAATGTAGAATCCAAACTAAGGTTTGAACTGAAGAATAACTATCTAGGTAGTTTAGATACGCGCTATTTCCCAGTTGAAAGCAAAATACAGTTATTATTTAGTCCAAACCTTAGTTTGGGTCCTATAGCTATAAATAAATAGTACCATCCAATTATTCAACCAGTAATTGTTCAACCAGTAACGAAATCAAGCGCAACAAATAAATGTAATTCTATCCTTTCTGGATAGATCACGTAAAGATTTGTTCGAAAGCTAATATTTGGTTGCGTTATAACACAGAATGTTGCCAATTCATAGGCTTTACTCTAATATACAGTAATATTTTAACACGTATACGAAATTACTAAACCAATCAAGATAGTTTATGAGTCAATGAAAACAGTGGAATGGATTACATAAATAAGTTAAAAGTACAAATTGTTAGTGTGATGACATAATTGGTAATAAGTCAATAATTAGAAAAAATAACATTCATAGAAAGATTACAAGATTACATAATAATAAGTGTTCAAATAATTGGACGGTGAAGTGTATATTTGAGAAAAGAAAAAGGCTGGGAGGGTAAGGAGAAAAATAAACGAACAAAGAGTATGGAAAATAATAAGAAATAAAATCATTCATTAAGGCCAAGGGAGAGATAAGGATGGTACAAATTTCTTATCAACAAAAAGACTTGTATTGTTGGCTCGATTTCCTACAGCTCCTAATATGTGTAAGAGACGAAATCGAATATCATAAGGAAAAATAGTAGGAATACGATAAATAAATTTAATTGATTTGTTTCTGTCCACTACATGACCACTATCGATCAAGTGTGATAGAACCGAGCTGCGTATTATCTTGACATTACCTTTTACTAACCACGAATGGAGGTGTTCACTAACAATTTGGTTCAGTTGTCTGGTATTGCGCCCAATATAGCTTTCTTCACAGGAGCAGCTGAATTCGTAAATACATATAAAAATGGCATAATCAGGTAACTTATACCTCAACTTTTAGCAACACTAAATATAACATTTATTAATGACTAGTTTCTATGGGTTAGATTAAGTAGAAAGTAAAAGAATGAAAGTAAATGAGAAACCTAAGAATCATTTATATCATTTTATTTTAATACACAAATTATGAACTTCACTAATGGTTATTATTAGAATAAATAAATCAATAACTTTCAAATATACACAACTAGAATGATGATTCAAACAATAACTGTCTAGTGCAACATTAAATATAACAGTTGTTCTGTTAAAATATAACCATAACAACAACAACAAGGAGAGGAAGAAAAAGAAGAAAAGGATAATAAATCTATTCTATTTTAAATGATTAATTTGAATTGTGAACAATTTACATGAAAGTATTTGTGGTGAAACAATAATTTATGAATAAACCAATCAGATTTATGGTAACAAATCTTGAAATTTTGGCGCGAAATAAATTTATTAATTTGGTTAAATAGACTTTTGACATTATAGCTAATGTTAGTTTGTGATGAAAACTCTATATATGCAATTCTTGTTATATCGCAATGAAAATAATGAATGGTAACTTCTGGGATCCATTTATGAACCAATACTCTATGTATATATTTAGCGCATAATTGATAAGTAACTAAACTATTCATATTCGTGTCCCTTTTATTATGAGCTTTATTTTAATATATGAGCTGTTGTTATACGATTTACCATTCTTGAGTTATGCTCTGTCTATCAATTACTATCTCCCACATTCACAGTAACATTTGGCTAAATCTTGTACAAATGTTGTTCCCTGTTTTGTGGTGCTACGTGGTCTGTTTCATTTGTATTTAGACCCAGTATGTTTGAAATAAACGATTCATATCACAGAGGCTGAGACTGGTGTTCTGGACTTAACAGGCAGGTCTAGGCGGGAAGCAGGACCGATAAGGACTCTAAACTGCTCGTACAAGTTTTATGGGTCATTGGTCCAGTCGATAATTCACTGTTCTTTAATTGGTGGTATCATTACATTATACATTAATAAGGACACAGAGCACAGTTATAACAATTCCTAAACCATACTAGCAACTGTAAATTCCTCACACTTCATTATAATCTTCATTAAGCCGTAGTGTGTAGGTGCATACTCTCAAAGTCACTTTAGAGGTGCTCAAAGGTTGTCCATAAATTATAATCTCAAAAAAATGAATGAAATAAGACAACGTTAATTAGGAAACTGAATATCAATTGAAAAAGTAATCTAATAGCATTCGTTTTGTCACTTAAATATATATACATTTTTCAGAGAGGGGTTTTTTGGAAATTGTAGTAATTTACTAATTGAATTCATGAGTTAATTGAAGCTAGACCACCATGGAAAACCTGGAATCAATGGAAGGTGGTTTTATTCTAGTATGGGACTTCTCAACAGTGCTCATCCACGATCCGGCCCCAAGAGATTCGAACTTTGGATCTACCAGTCTCGCTCGCGAACACTTAGCCTTTAGACCACTGAGTCGGAATCCTTAATTATTGTATTAATTGGCAAGTTTTGTAGAAGGAAAAATAAGAATTAAATTTCATTCACCATTAATTTTAATCATAAGTCTCGATTTGCACTGCTTTTTGAATTACTGAATGACCTCAAATTGGTTGTAAAATTTATGTTCAGAAATATAGAAGTTCATGATAACAAGAAATAGGAATTTGTAAATATTACATTCCTTATGTGAAGTTATATTACACAGTATAAAATCCAATTTGACTACAGTAGACTTGTGGAATATACATTGTAAAATAATGTATCATTCAAATGCAGGTTGAATAAAACTAAGCTTACTAGGACAGCTAAACTTACGGTTCTGTAAACTTGGACTTTCAATAACCTGAATGGTAAAAATAGAAATTTTAATTAACAATAAACTTAGAAGAAAGGAAAAGATTATTATTGTGACTTGGAGACCGGCTAATTATCACGTGATTTATTCGCCAATGGAAATACGACTTATACAGTTTTAGTACTGTGCCGAAACCAATAAACGTTCGACCGGTATGACAAGTCTAGTGTCCTTATTAATTCTTTGTCCTCCTAGCCCGTCCAGTTGAGTCCAGAACACCAATAACAGCTTTTACTATGTGGATCATTTGTTTCAAACATACTTGGCTTCTATACAAGCCAAACAGACTGCATCACACTATAAAATAGGAAATAACATTTATACAAGATCAAGCCCAAAAGTGGCTGTGAACGTGGGAGACTGTTATCAATAAACCGAACATAATTTAAGAATATCAAATCGTATAATAGTAGTAATGTATAGGTCAAAATGGAGCTTATAATAAGAGGAATATAGATACATATAATCTAGTTACTGAATAGTTATACAATAGGCATGTATATATAATATTTGTCCATTAATAGGTCTCAGAAGTTATTCGTAGTTTAATCTCCACTAGGATATAACAGATATATATAATCATGAACATTTCGTATTATGTAAGAATCGATATAATACTTTTGATGGAGTTGCATTCTTTGAGGTAGAATACATTAAAATGCTTTCATTATTATTTTGGACAACAATTAGAAGAGCCTGTTTCATTTTGATCTGATATGATTCTGCTCAATTTCATAGAAAATTTACAACTGTCGTCAATGAAGTTAATTCACTTTTTGTCAACTCAACAGTAACTCAATTTGGGTTTGAAGGTTAAATTTTGATTTGTATTATCTTACTTTAAAATTTCTATGCATTTAATGAAATTGAGAATTAGTTTTATTCTTATTCGGAGTGGCCGAGCGGTCTAAGGCTCCAGACTCAAGAGTGTTCTCCTGGGTGTTCTGGTTCACAATGTGGGCATGTGTTCGAGTCCCACCTCCGACACATACTTTTCGGGGTGTGGCTTCCTAAGAAAAGCACCTGCTTCGGTCTGGGCACCCGGGCAGTAATACAGCCCTCATAGAAATCGGATGATTTATGTGGTGCATATCTGTTTGGTGCCTCCTTGTACCAATGTTTATGTGTTTAAAAAAATAAATCTTATTCAAATACTAGTTCAAACTACTTAAAAAGTGAAATACTGTCCTCAGATAAAATTAAACATAGCCATTTTCGATCCAGCATCATCAACATTACCATTTTAATGATAAAACCGTTGTGCTAAGTAATCCAAACTCATAGTGCTTTATTTCGAACTCGAGAGGTTGATGATAAACAAAAATGGTCATTTGGTTTTCTAGACCAATAAGAAATAAAAAACGCCCAAATTCCGTTAATTCCTTTACAGATTACGGTCTAAAACATTCAACTCTTAAGACATTTCTATTATGCCACATAATTAGGTTATTCATTTCTATTCATGGTGTCCTCCTATATTCTTATGAATCTAATGAGGTAAATATTATTCTTCACTAATTTTTTTTGTCATAACGTCTAACAGTTATCTAAATTCACTTGGTGTTGTTTTACTTGTATCTTCCCATTGTTATTTAGGACTGCGTTTGGTCAGTCTCATGTTGGCATATGTGCATTCTGTGCGGGTTGCCTCGATATTGCCTTAAGTCACAAGCCAATTTTTTGTCATAACATCTAACAGTTATCGTTCAAAATCAGCCATAGTAATAATTCATTGAAAATAATGCTATAAAAACGCTTTACAGTGTTGAAAGATATTTTATTCTAAAGTTTACTAACAGTGTGAAAATAGGATTCTATACAGAAGGGCAATAGCAAACTACAATTAAAGTTTTTTACGTTAGAAATATCACATGTTTCATATTGACTAACATACACAAAAATACACAAACATGTCTCGCATGGAATCCCCTTGACCCATATGTCGTGTCATTGACTTATTTAGAATTATTTTATTTGTACTAGGTATGTTGCTTTGTTCCTTTGTACTTTCTAAGCTTGTGTTAATTTAACTCGACTATTCATTTATTCTTTGTAGACGTGACTGACATTGAGCAGTGAAACGTCAAAACTTCAATCCCCTAGTCATCAGAATGTTACGAACATTACATTATTTTTCATAATAATCTGACAACCTGTCGTAATTACCATATTTTTTGTCTGATGTCCACATAACAAACAACTAATTCGTTCTTGTTCAATAATCGTTACTTTACTGTGTCTTACTTTTTCCTAATTCAGTTTCTTATTCAAAAAGGTTCTAAGGGATACGGATTTACTTTATGTGGTAATTGTCCAGTTTACGTTAGCCATGTGGAACCGGGTTCACCGGCAATGCAGTGTGGAATACAAGCTGGTGATTTTATAGTTGCAATTGATAACATAAATGTATCACGATCTACAAGTAATAGTGTTGTTCGCATGTTCAGGTGAGTAGAATTCTTAAACAAAGTCTTTTTGTCATTGTCAAGTCTGGAACAAACGTTTTTGAATAGATAAAAGTTATTATTTATGACTGTTGCATTAAGAATGAAACGGAAGTGAATTTCTGAGCGAAAATAAACACTTCAGTAATAACTCTAATCACCACAAAACAAGAGTTTCACAATGTGATATCGACCGCTTTCAGTTATTTTAAATAAAAGTAAACCACATTATCAAATCACTTAAACCTGTAAATGAATGAAGTCTAATCCAAGTTGCTAGTCTCTAAATTGTCTATATAGTTTCAATCTATAGAAAGAAATAAAATGATGATATTACTGATAAGTCTTGTTAATTGAACGCTTGATTTGGTTTCTGAACTCTTCTAGTAACCCCCAGGCTAGAACTACACAGAGACTTTAATACTTGAGAAAAGGAATGAAATATATAAGAAATACTTTATTCCAAAGGTTCGTTTATGTACAGAAAAGCTAGGATTTTTTTCACAGTATTTTAGATGTCTTTTCGTTTCCAGAAAGTTCTGGAATGCTAATAAACATAGTAGCAGTATAAGTAATCATCCAGTCAGGAACTCAACATGTGACGTTTCATTTTCTAGATGCTTCTGGCAAAAGTTCGACTGAACGCTGATTGAATAAAACACTTCTCAATGTTTTCAGAGCCTTTCTTGGCTTTTTTCGTGGAGTTTTCTAGATCGTTCCAACAATTGCAAGTTTTAAATTTTGTTTACTCGTCAAACGAAATCCATTTACTGATAAACGATACAAGTTTGGAATGGTATCAGCAATATTTCATAAGTTTTTTTAAGTGCTTTTCCTATAATTGTGGAGCAAAAAGACTGTCACAATCATAGACCTTTAAAAAATCATTAGCCTTAACTTCTAAACATTTATTAATACAGTGGCTTATTCACTACGATATTAAATGATTTGATAACATACTATCAATATAAAGCGTTCATGTTACTGATTTGCATATTCTAGTTATTACATTGTAACTTCACCGATATAATTCTAACAGCACTAAGGACATGATGAACATGACATTAGTTAATACTCAGTAATCAACCTTTATACATGCTAAACACCTTACAAATCTATTGAATCAAACGTCGTTCCTTTTTACTGCTATATATGAGCATACATACAAGCGAAAATATTATCCAGTTACATTATGCTTTGTTTGTTAGATCTTAAACATTAAATTTGGTTGTAAAAACTTTACAACTGCAAAGACAATACTCTTCTTTTGATGCAAACATATTGCAATGCAAATGAGTAAAACAAGTAAAGTTAAGGTCATTAGGGAAAATCGAACTCTTTATCTTTGGAAAACTTACGAACTATAACCAATAAGAATCCAGATTATTAAATAAGGAATAAAAAATCTTCAGACCATTCTAGCCAGTCAATCACATTGAAGTTTACGATCAATATTAAACGCTTCCAAATGAATCGTTCATACAAATTGTGTTAACGCACTGTGAAGATGTGCTCTAAATATTTTACTATTAAAACGTTTATTTTTAACAATGTTGAGACTATAATTTATGAACGACATTTGGGCGACGCTAGTTGATGGTTATAAAGCAGAATGAAGAGTAAAATATTATGATTTACAGTTGATGGTTAGGAATTAGATTTATGGTTTTTATCACGAACTGACATCAGCTAAAATGTCAGGACGCTATTTTGACAATTTGGTGAATGAATTTCGCGCCAAAATCCTAAACCTGTCATTCTAAATGTGATTGGTTCGTCCATAAATTACAGTCTCGCCTGGTGTAAATTCATACTTCAAATATCTTTTATTAAAAATTACCAGCTTCTTTAACATTTATTCTGGTATTTTTTTAATTTCACATGAAATCTAGAATGTCTCAGCATCCTGTTCACATTACTATTTCACGTCCTGTGCTGATAAAACCTAGTGTGTCAACTACCAGTAATGCACATTCAACTAGTAGCAGATCCCTTGGAAATTTAATTAATAAAACATGTTTTTCTGCACATAAAAAGTTATCAAAGGAATCAACAAAATTGATTCAACCAACAAATATTTCAAAAGTGAGTCATACAGAGTTTTTTTCATCTTTACCATATCATCAACATCCTTATGATATATCTTCACTACCATCATCTTCATTCATAACAGTTCCATTAACTTCATCTTCATTTATTGACTATTTGAAACTTTCCAGTTATCTTAATTCATCGAATTTACACCACAATTCCAGTTCAACAATTTGTTCATCTATAAACCACTGTATAATACCGAAATTCTCTATTCCTCAATCTATTTCTTTACATCAAACAATGAATGAACAATTGGCTAGAATACATCAAGATAATTCTCAAATAGCTGCTATTCTATCCCCTAATCAAAATATTCCTCATCATAATCAGGAACAACAGCAACAACAACAAATAAATGATGCAGACGATATCGCTTTAGTTAGAATACCATATAACGAAAATTATACAAAATCTAATAAAGTAAGTTCTAATTTTTCTTTTTTTTCTGCACAAGACACTGATTTGTTGTTCAACTTTTGAATAATCAGTCTTTTATAAATACAACCATTGCTCTTTTACTTAATTATTGAATTGAGTAAAATGCTTACTTAAATGGAACTCTATTATATAATTTAATTCCAACTGGTTGAATTTCCATGGTTCATCAGGACGTTTGGTACCTGTGTGGTCGCGCCATAGGATTGAGCTGTACTATACAGATTGTAGAGTTAAAGCCTATACGGTGTCTGGTTCTCTTGTGAAGCGGGATTGAACTGTACTGTTCGTGTTAAGCCTGGGCGGTGTCTCGCTCTCCTGTTAAACGGGAGTGAGCTGATCTGTTTGGGTTGTCACGTGAACGTCTGGATGGTGTCTAGTTCTCCCAAAAACCAATGTAAAATTACCCTGGCCTACAAGGGTATATTATATAACTGATTAAATTTCTAAGTGGGTAATTCAAAAAATTATTCCTGAAAGCTAAATGGTACAATCTTTGATTGTGAAATCAGATAACCTGGTTTAAATCCAATGAGTAGAGTAAATTACGTCATGATTACAGGTCATGCTTTGCTGAAGTGATGTCACCTAGTTTAAAACATAATTTTAAAGCTTCCTACTGATTCCTTCGAACAGCCTGACATTTCTGATTGTATCGTTATTAATCTAACATCTAACATTTAAATAAGTTAATATTAGAGTAAGCTTATAATACGAAATCCGAAAAAATTAGTATCATGTTGACTAAAATGAAATAAACGGAACTCTGATAAAATCTGTTATGGCTTTGCTTCGTTAATCGATCACTTCGATAACCGTCATAATATAAATCTCAACGGTATTTGAAATTAGAAGGCAATGAGAAGCGGCGACTACAGTTTATTAGCGGATAGCGCACATCACAAAGCTATAAGCACATCAAGCGAATTTGAAGCAGTGAGGTGAATATGTGTGTGCGAACGAATACATAAGCAAATTTATAGTCGAATTGCAAAAAGGCACAACAACGCAAAGCAGAAGCTAATAATAGGATTTGAGTACATATATACATGGGGAAGAGGATGAACCATGAAGTGATATTTAAGAAATCAACATTTTAGCCCGAGTCTGTCATGTGATCTAGTGGTCATAACGGTACAACGAAATATGCGAATTGTTACTGTTGAAATAACATTGTCTATTAAGTTAGTTAATAAAAAAAGGCTTAACTAAGATTAACCATACTCGAAATTGGTTGTAGGATAGTTGCTATAAATCTTTTAACACACAGAACTAAGCATCTTCATTCATTCAATAAACCTACTTGTAATTATTTTCGAGTAAACTGATTTTAACACGACATATTTTTTATGCTCTTCGTTAAGCGTGCAAGACTGTAGTAAGCAATACTTGAAGACGTTGGACGACGTAGTTCAGATTTTGTCATAATGGTTGGGATCCATTCACTATTTGTCATCCCTCGGATCTTTCGTTTTAAAATTACGGTATTTTTTTATCCAGTAGATTCATTCTTTTTTCTTGAATCAAGTATTTTTTTAATAAGAAATCTTGTTTACTACTACTGGTAATGTTACTACTTCCCCTACCTTGACATTTGGCTTGACCAACACATCTCACTGTTGTGTTGTGACTTGTCAACCTTAACAGATGGACAATTGTGCCAGATTTCATGATGCTTGTGGATGACCAACTGATTATATTAGCTTATCATAAATGGACACAATGAACTGTTTTCGCATTGGCTGTGACTGATATATGGATTTGCAGTAACCGTATGAACTCAATTCCACTACCAACCATCTACAACTTCTTACGAGTGGACTTTATGTATAGAAAATAACATAATTTGTGAAAGCGAAATGATTTTATCGAAAGAGGGATTCCAAGAATTATTAAATAACCGTTACAGATCCCACAAAAGTTTTTTTTTAAAAACACTAAACAGATGTAATTTCAACTTATTTGTATATATTGATTTGCAACCTGTATTATAATTTCGGTTTTTCGTGTGTGGCATTCACTAGTACTATTCAGGTAAACTGAACTTATATTTACGTTGAAGAGTGCTTTGATGATTAACCTGTGAAAGCGCTTCTTATGATGTTTTATTCATTTATTTATATAAACAAATAAACAGTGGTACAAGAAGGCACCAAATAGTTATGCGTCACATAAATCATTCGATTTTTATGAGGGCTGAGATACTGCCCGGGTGCGAACCGAAACAAGCGGTTTTCTTAGGGAGCCACATCCCGAGCCCTTGACCTAAAAGTTTAAACTACAAGACACTGGAGCAACGTAAGGAGATGCCGTCCCATAATAGCCAGTGACCAACGATTGGTTCATACGCCATTTGTTCACTCAGGAGCCCATGGGCACCATTGGTTTGAATGAGGGTTTTCCAACTCCTCTAGGGAAAAGCAAGATTCTCCCATACAACACATCATGCACCAATCAAATCACACTTGACGGAGAAGCTTTGGAAGATGTAAACACCTTTACATATCTAGGCATCATTGATGAACACGGTGGATCTTATGCAGAAGTGAAGGTGTGGATCGGCAAAGTAAGAGCAGCATGTTCACGACTGAAGAACATCTGGAACTCAAAACAACTGTCTGTTAACCAACACCAAGATCAGGATTTTCAATACAAATGTCAACACAGTTCTACTGTATGGGGCGGGGATTCGGAGAACTACGAAAGCCATCATCCAGAAGATACAAGAGTTTATTAACAGTTATCTTCGCAAAATACTTCGGATCGGTTGGCCAAACACTATCGGCAACAACCTATTGTGGGAGAGAGAACAAACCAGATTCCAGTGGAGGAATAAATCAGGAAGAAGCGCTGGAAGTGGATAGGACACACATTGAGGAATGCACCCAACTGCGTCACAAGACAAGCCCTCACATGGAATCCTCAAGGCCAAAGGAAAAGAGCAAGAGAAATGGGGACAGACATGAGAAAAATGAACAAGAATTGGCTAGAACTGGAAAGGAAGGCCCAGGACAAAGTCGGTCGGAGATTGCTGGTTGGCGGCCTATGCTCCATTGGGAGTAACAGGCGTAAGTAAATAAGTAAGTAATTCAATACAAGAATATGTAGTCAATTTAGCATCAAACTTATGTTAATAATGATAAAAATGAATTTCATCAATTATTTCCCTTTTTTCCAATGAAAAATTCACTAATCATACCAGTTTCTATAATTGTGCATCAATGGAACAATTTAATTAATATCAATCACAATATCCAATGAATATGACGATGATGATGATGATGATGATGAAAGCACCAACTGTACAATTTAGTTCAAATCAATTTCATACTGATTTAGAATATTATGATTGGTTGAATCTTCTTGAAATAAAAGTTCAATTATTATTATTATTTCCTAATTTATTACTAATTGTACAAAAAAATTCTAACGATTTCTTTACTGTGATTAAAGATCTTATTTATCATACAAAAATAATACATAATAACATTCCACAATATGCATCAGGTAAGTGAATTAATTATTAAAAATTCATGAGTCAATTGAAGCTAGACAACCATAGAAAACCTGGAAGCACTAGACAGCCGTTTCGTCTTAGTATAGGACTCCTCAGTAGTGTGCATTTACGACCCCACCTCGCGAGATTAGAACTCAGGACTTATCGGTCTCGCGTGCGAACGCCTAACCTCTGGACCAACAGTGTTAATGTCTAGCTTCAACCAATCCACGAAATTGCGCCAATGTCCACCAATGTCATCATTGAGTTACTATCTCACAACTGACTCGGTTTAACTCCACTGATCATCACCGTCCAGTGCTTCCAGGTTTTCCATTATGGTCTAGCTTTGTTTAACTCATGAATTCAACAATTAAATTACTATAATATTCACAAAACTACTCTCCGATTTTAGTAAGAATGATAGTAAAACTACTTTTACATAGTTCGAAATCATTTATTTGAAAATTAGAAATTGAAATTGATATTTAAACATATGATGAATGCAGTGTAAGGTATTCAGTATGAATCTATTTGTAATTCATTGATTCAGTTATTTTCATTATGTTCCCACCTGTAAATAAATGAACTCAAGTTATGTCTCTGGTATTGTTTTAGGCTGACAATTCTTATCGAGATTATTAAGAATTGATATGTTGTATTTAAATCATAATTAAACTTCCCATGTGGCTGTTTGAAACTATACAACGTCACTTTACGGAATCTTCCTGAAAAAAACATATTTGAAAATTGATGGTTAGTTAGGTGATATGAAAAGATTATTTCAGTATCCAGACAGTTTTTGTCATGGACCGACATTACCTCATGTGATATTATGAAGCTATGGTTTCCTACAATATCTCTGTTGTATAAAATTACAAAGTAGTTCACAATATAAGCCGGTATGAATGTCAAACCAGCTTTGTTAGTAAAATATGATCTTATGTTTTCTTACTATCAGTTTTTTGGTAATGAAGATTAAGATAAGTATACCTGAAAAATATGATCAAGTACTAACTTCAATATCACTCATACTCATAATCGTTAATTTTACATCATTCAATATTATTTGATAACTTACATACTAACCCCAATGTATAGCAGATCATCTTAGTATTCTGCTCAAAGATTTAGCACTCTTAATAAGTACAGCGTACCAAATAAAATATGCACAAACAAATAAACCAGATTATTAGTTCGATTCCGTACGTAACGTCATCAAAAATTTCAGGGGTGGAATGATTTCAGATGTCAATGAAACTGGTGATTGCATAACTTATTACACAATAACTATCTAACATTACTATATCAAGCCGCCCAACTGTATAGTTACAAATAGCAAGTCGCTGATTACTATTCAGTCACTGGCTATTGTAATTTTGTATCTCAGCAGATGTTCAGTAGAGCAATTGAATGGGGTGATTTCAATTCGTGGTTTAAAAATAAACGAAGTACAAGAATTCTTGAGATTTGAATTTCATTTCCTACGACTACAATTTGTCACCAAAAAGTCTATCATTTATTGTAAAACTATTTGGTGGCCTCATTTCTATAAAATACATGTTGATGATCTCAAGGTGTCTGAAATAATCGTGTATTATATTAATTTACAGCAAACTGATTCATTGAGAGTGATAAATTAATGTCTGATTGTTTGTTCTTTGAAACAGGGTTTTATTTTTCAAATTACGTGTTACAGATAAACTTGGGCATTTTTCCCTTGATTGATTAATTAAATTTAAAATTCTAAATAGCATTAAAATCATTACATTTGATACATGGTTTTATTCGTTACAGACCAACTAATGCTACAATATATGATGGAAAGCAATCGTAAGCGGGATGTTCACTCTCAAGGTTCAGATGCTCACAAATGGCTTGTTCGAATACAATGACATATGATTTACCGTGGCAACTGATGGAGGGGCGTTAGTTGTAGCAGTTCGGAACTCTAACGCTCATCTATTTTTCATTATTCTAATCTATTTACTTAAAATAATTAAGTAGTTCATGTCTTTTTTTGAAAAAAGACGGAAATTCGGTACGAATGAAAGTCAATTCTAGAATGAAAAACAAGTGTTGTCATTGTGAATGTAATTTCCTGTAAACGACTTGTAAATTGTGTAAATGTCGATATTACTTCTGTACATTGATTCACTGTTTCTAACTTTGTCTGTGTTGCTTATTTTATCTTACTTTCTGTTTTATGAAACCATGTTCATCAATATGGCAGTAGCATCAGAAGCGGCTTCCCAATGCACATTCAATAAAATAATGATTACAATTACTAGCTTGTTAAAATTCCTATTTTCTGGTAATTTCGGCACTAGGTGTTCTGGAGAATAGTTAATATTTCGGTTTTACATTTGTACAGTTTACCACCAATGAAAAGAGATGTTAAGTCAATCTTCCTAATATACTTGAGATACAAATGAAAATTAATCTTTGTTTTTTTCTAAGCACTTAGTCTCAGTGACTAAATACGAATTACATCTTTCTTGAAGGCTATAGGGGTCCTGTATCTGATTCCAGTTAAATTGTTGGATGATTGTTTTTGAAATATACATGCTGTCGACCCCCGTATATTTTTATTGACTCAATACGCGTTAGAGAATAACTGGATAAAATAAGTCAAATAGGAGAATGAAATTTGAATAAGTGTATTTCGTACACTTATTGATCTGAACAGACAACCAGGGTAACTAAATGAAGAAAGCGAAACGAAAAGAAATGACGCTCAGTAGGATAGGCGAGTAAAGAAACTGGTTTTGATTAAGCGTGACAGTATTTATATTCAGGAAAAACTAAACTGCAGGCATGTGATGTATAGGATAAGTAATTAACACGTATACGTCCATGTAAAAATAGGGTTAATAGGTAAACAGTTGACAAGGCTTGAGAATAATGAACATATTAATCCGTCCAGAAGTTACAATAGCCCGTATGGGCTTGGCATAGTGCCATTCACTACAAAGCATCTATATATTACTTCCTAATGACGAGAAATAAGCTCGTGAAGAGTTAACATAATTATAAAAATGGCTTATTACGACTCAAGTTCTAGGGTATAAATGTTACTAATATATTGCGAATCGATTTCTTGGCAAGTAGACCTGCTTATTACACTCAATAGAACTATAAATGCATATTGTTATTAATGTCATGTGTGTTGCTTTTGAGATTCAGCCAACCATTTGTTTAGTCTTTTTTGATAAGTGAATCCCTCAAGGAAGCACCATGATATTTCTTCTAGTTTAAAGTCTTAGCTTATAACTAGAATCATGACAACAACAAAATACAGATGATATTTTAGTTTCTGTTAAAAAAACTCTCCAGCTAAGTGTGCACGCGTTTTTATGTTGATTTTTACTATGAGGCTCTATCTGAATTGATGGCTTAACAACAAGAAAGGTCATACACAAGACTTCAAGAATAAGAAATCAATGCTATTTTCGTCAAACATGTTAGCGGTTATCTTAACTCAGTAGTTTAGTGATGAGGGTTTTGGCAACAGGCATTGAACTAGAGTCTTTGAGTATAACTTAACTTTGAGATGCAGGTAAATTCACAACTTAACTAATTTAAAACTAAATGCACATTATGTACTTTAGTACTAGCCACAATACAAAAATTTAATCATAGATGTACATCACTGTCGATATTTTAGCCTTGCTGAAAGGTGTTTCAAACATAATAGCAGAAGAATATAAACGAAATAAAGATAGCGTATAGTAACTTTCCACTTGAAATTCGTTTACAGGTCATTAAATTACTTATATTTCTTCAAGCAGCCAGATGACGACAGATTGTATGAAGGTGTGTAATCCAAGTATGGCCAAGAATCCTTCGAATTGTATGTTTTCCTGAAGCTACATACAACAATGAAGTTAGGATACAGCAAAAACCTTGTCTTAATAAAACAGGAGGCTAGAACAGAGAAACACGATGTATTTTTACGCTGTAGAAACAGCGGGAACTATTAGCAAACGCGATAAGCGATACATATTGTACGATAGAAGACGCAATATTTGTCACGTTTTTGAAAACTAGTTGAGTTTTTGTCACTTTATATGTTAACTCAATAGATGAAACCTAACCTTATTGTTTTCACTAGATCGAATGATACAAGAATTTTCGGACAAAGTACAAAACAGGGGAGAGTAAG